AGACGGAAAGGGTTGGTGAGAAGAAAGTTGAGAGATGGACTTGAAGAAAGAAGCACAAGAGAAGGTTCCAATGGGTCTAGGAATCCAAACTCTCTTATCTGGCTTTGAGGGATTCAAACAAACCTGATTAAGACAACCAAGCAAAATAGAAAGAGACTCAATTTCAGCATCCCTAAGTCCTCTACGAAACCCAAAATCCCAAGTAGGATTTTGTATTCACTACACACATTTCTTTGTTAACTATCCACTTTACCCAATATGCACTATCACTGGCAACAAGAATGATTTTTCTGTAGGTTATGTAGCTAACATAAATATATTCTGATTCATTCCTTTTCTTCAAGTAAGAATTTCATTAAATGTGTACTGTACAAGAATCAAACAACTTCTCTACTTATTGATCACTAGAAAACTGATCCAATAGGCAATAACATGCCAAGTATGCAATAATGCTAGTCAATAAAATGCAAACTTGTGTTGGTGTAATAGAGACAGTCTTTGACTGTGTTGGTGCATGTTCTTTCCTACAAGCATTTGGGAAGCAGTGTTGTAATTTTTCTGGTTCAATTTTATTGACACACTGCTTTTTATACCAAAAAAAAACAATAAGCAGAACTTTCAAAATCATAATGTTATATTAGAAAAGGGAAGTGACTAGAGTAATGGGAACTTCAGTGAAGTGGTTCCCTTGATCAAACACATAAACTGAAGTATGTCTGAAGAGGAATTCGCAATAGCATATAGAATTGACAAATCAAATTATCAAGAGCATGCCAAACCCAAAGAAAAAAAAAAAAAAAAAAGCCTACCAAAAAAATATCAAGGACATGATAAAATATTATCGATGGATATGGCACTGAACAGAACGGATGGGACTGCCTACCATTCCCAGGAACTCTTAAACAAGCAACCAATTTGCTTTTCTCATCCATGCACCTGTTGGATGAATCGCATTCTTCCCCCCAAGAACTCTCCCTTCTCGAAGGTTCCAAGGGGACTGTAACCCCATTCTTGTTTCCCTCTTCATGCACCAATTTAGAATCAGATCCTTCAGTTGGCTTCTCTTTTGTGTGCCCCTCCTTCACCTGTGACTGAATAGCCGAATCATTTTTATGCGATGCTATTTTAGGACCTTCTTTCAAACCCAATTGGTTACTTGAATTGCTCTGCCTTGTATTCTTTTCCAATTCCTCTTGTGTTCCACCTCCAATCTGACTTTCGCCCTTCTTTTCATGGTCAATTTTGGAAGAATTCAGAAGTGGATGTACTCCATTCACAACAGAACCATTTTTATCACTCGAGAGCAGGAAAGTTTTCTGATCAGATCCGTTATTTGAATTCGTTGTGTTGACCTAAATTCAGAATATAAGATTAATGAGATTAACTCTGATTTTCTGTATCATATGCCCCTTACAGCACAAGAAAGGAAAAAAGAAAATGGCTCTTTTACCTCTAATTCAGAAACAGCGCAATTTACAACAAGGAACAGCAGTAGAGAAAACCACATAATGATTCTGTAAGGCTCCATTTCCTTCAGCTTAACTTATTACTTTCACTACATTGGGACCCTATTTCAGTTCGTTCGGTTGAACCGGAACCAGAGATTCAAAACCAATAATCAGTGTGTGTGGATCAAACTGTGATTCAAGCACTAAGTAAACTAGACCAGATTGCTAACCTCAGAGCCTATGGCATTTTTCTTCATTCTTCTAGATAAGCTTACCTCCACTGTATAAGGTTGGACTGAAACCAAATATTGATATAAGCATGGTGCAGGGTTTCGCATATCACAGATTCACGGTTAGAGCGTTAGCACAAAACGAACTTGGAGCCTTAAACCAGATAAATAACCAACCTGATAATATCCTGTTCCAAAGCACGAGAGGCTTCAAATGGATCCGAGCCGCATCTCCATACTCTGTCCAGCTCGAGCAGAGACAGAGAAGCCGACCAACTAACGTCAAAGTGAGGTTTGGATTTATTATTGTTAACTATTAATCTATTGTGGCTGAGCATTCTAGCATCACGGGATTTTGTTCGACAATAACCCTAAATTGCACAATATCAAAACATAGATACTTTTTAGTTTGGCAGACACGAAATACGAGGAGGAGGTGGCATGGATGATTTATCTAAGTGCGGTTTGCCAGATAGGGTGTTGCTTATTGTCGTTTTGTGATTTAAAGCTTACAAGTTACAACTTTTTGTTTCTCGATCATATCCTATAAAATAAAAAATTATTAGGATTAAAATAGATCATTTTTAAAATTTAGAACATTCTCGCATTCAGAGTTGATAAGAAAGAAAATTTCACTAATATCAATATATTATGAATAGGCTACACGATTAGGATAGCCCATCCCCCAATGGCCCAACCCATAACCCCCCAAACCCAAGTAAAGTCTCTTCTACAATCAACACGAGACCAACCAACTGGTTTGTGGTTTGATTTAGTGTGGTTTATGGTATATCTCACATCAAATTAATAAAATTCAGTATAGGAAATTTTTTAGACCAAATTAAATCATTTTATTATGATTTGGTACATTTTTTAATTAAAGTTGGGCCATTCTATTAGCATTGACCTAATTAGAAAGCCCAAACAATATATATATTTTTTTTAATATTTCTTTTGAATAGCTACACAATCAGGGTAGCCCATCCCCCAACTCAGGTATAGGTGGGGTGGGATTCAATCCCAAGTCTCTGCAATAACCAACAAGAGACCTTACCAATCAGTTGGTTGGCATAAATAATAAATAGTCTTTTAGTCACCATGAAATCATTGAAAATCATTTTAATTGATGTGCTATACAATTATCAATTTAATTATAATTGATGTGCTATACAATCATCAATTTAATTAGAAGGAAATAGTGTTTTGAGAGTTTTTCTTATTATATGTTATAATATTAATATAATATATATTATATATGTTATTTGGTTAATATATATCTTATTATATATTATAATATTTATTTATTTATTTTGGTTTATGATTTGGTTTGGTTTCTAAAATTCAGGTAAGTCTAGACCAAAGCAAACTGCAAATTACAGTTTGGTTTAATTTAGTCTAACAGTTTGGACTATATAATGAACACCCCTGATCATCATAACAGCATTTTCATTAATTATTTGTTTGTTTATGTTTTTTAATGAGTATATGCTTTGTGTGTGTTCTTCATTCCAGCAAGAGTAAATTTTGTTTATTTATATCCCTCAACTTGAGGTTGTGTATGGGTCGAGATCTTGGCTTTGCTTACCAAAAGCAAGGTTTATATTTTTAGGCTTTAAGCCAATAAATGGTTTTACTTTTAGGCTATTTTGGTTTGAAGGAAGAGGTGGGGAAGGTACTTTTGACTTCAAAACAAGCACAACCAAAGATGTTGACTTTAAGCTACGATTTCAAAGGTAGCCCAAGCTTTAACAAATTAATCATGAAAGAACAATTTAAGTTTGATCTAACCCCATTCACTTTAAATACATTTTATTTTGTTGTTTCTTTTATATATATATATATATATATATAATCATAGATTGAAATAGTAAGAATGACAATGGGCGTAGTTCTAAGAACTATAGAACACTCGATATAGTTGGGATAAGGCTTAGATAACGATGATGCATATAATATATTGCATACATATACACATCCCTTTTTTTCTAACTATATGTATTTGAGTTATAATGATATTTTCATGGATAATTCTATGATTTTTTTCTTGGAGTAACTAACATGGATGGGAGCACCATAATTGAATATAAATGGGGATTGTGGGGGCCATAGCTCCACCCCTTAATATGCGTATGTGTTTTTTATTATGTTGTTTCTAAGGGGGTGTTCGATACCATGAATATATATTAGACAAGACTGCTTTGGTATCGTCCACAATTGAATGGTGTGGACAATTAGTGGGAAGGATTCGGTGTAATGTACTTGCATTACACTGGCCCAACCACCATCATTTTTATTAATTTCCAACATATCTTTATATATAATTAATTTCATTTTTATATTGTTCATCAAAATGGTTTTGTACTATTACATAAATTCATATTATATGCATTTTATCTTCTAATAATTGACACAAATGGTAAATATGTTTATTAGTAATTATATGTTGATGTTTTATTTTATCCATTATTGTTTTATATTATTATTTCAAATTATTTATTGCTTAAATTATGTTTTTTTTAGTCATGACCAACGTATATCTCGCAAATTGTACATTAGATGTATGGAACCAACAGGTGGTCCACACCACACCTGTAGAACGCCAATGCAAATGTAGATAGTTTCTATCCATGCAATTTTGTCCATGATTTAGAACAACTGCGTAGAGTCTGCATGGTGTGTTTGGTCCCTACCACAATGTGTGGTGTGGTCCAGTCAATACCCACCAATTTCTCATCCACAGTACACAATACTACCTAAGTTAGACTATAAATTATTTAAATTCCAAGTGAAAGGCAATGGTGCAAGATATAACTAATACCACTTTCAATATTAACAAGGCCTACAGTTTAATAGTAAACAAGCCTTTAACTAACCCAAATTGTGCACCTGAGTTGGATTGGGTGGCAAACTCAAATTTTGACATTAGGTTGGACCATGCTTGGCCTCAATGTTTATGTCTTAGGGTAAAGTCAGGGGTGGCCCTAAACCTAGTCCAACCCATTCAAGATAAACCTTAATATTCATGATTTGAAACGTTGTTGATATCATAAGTTATACCACACATAATTCTTCTTTTTTTTATTTATCTAATTTATATGCATTGCTATGCTCGAATATACTACCAATAGCTACTTGAAAGACATTACAACTATACATTAGGGACATTTTCCATATTTCTATATTGTGATTCATGGAGAGATGTTCCCGATGTGTGGCTTGTAGTGTCTTGTGGTTGTAGGTAGTTGTGGGTAGCATATCTAGATGCCCATGATACCACCATGGCTTGACCATTCAATACCTTATTATAAAGTTTATATAACTTGTGCATTTAATCAAGCATTTGAACTATGATTACATTGCTTTAGACAGGAAATTTTTATTATGGCAAGATACTATTCTTGGTCTAATTGAATTTTGTAATAATTCATTATATATAGTATTATTATATGATTGTCAATGGATGCTTGACTATTGATTATGCATCAATTTTTTATACATAAAGTAACACCTACATTTTGATGTTTATAGGCAAATTCAGTAGTGTCATTAAGCATGACATTAAATCCATCAGAGTTTTAGTTTCGTCCAAGGTGAACTGAACTATAACATATTTATTGAGTTGAAATAATTTAAGGTGAAAATAGCAATGTAAATAGAAATATAAAATATATATATTATTGAAAGATAAAAAGAAAGAGCAAATTTATAAACATATGGCATATAAAAGCAATATAGATACCAAGAAATATATATACATTATATATACCAAGAAATATAAAAGAATTATCTATATTATATAAAGTGGATACTTGCCTTAGTTTTTGTGCAAAATGGTAAAAGTTAATTTTCATTATATAATGTTAATTTATATTTGATTATTTACTTGCATGAGTGCATAGTTGTATGCAGAGATTTGATTATATAATGTTAACATATATATTTTAATGTATATATTGGCTTGTATAAAAAAATACATGTAATGAGTTATATGTTGATATCAAAGTTGAGCCAAGTCCCCTCCCCCACACACAAAAAAAAAAAAAAAGTTTTGCCCCTAGTTGAGGTTTTAGCCAAAAATCAAAATATTTTATTTTTTGATCAATATATGGTAATATCAAATGTTAACTACAATGTGATATTTATCTATATTTCTATATTATATATAAAAGTGCATATGTAGAGTGAAAGTTTTGTTGGACTAAAATTACCCTCTAATTTTTTTGTTTGATAAAAGCTATAAAAGTTATTTTATTACAAATTGAATGCCAGTTTAATGGCTCCTAAAATGCCCATATTTGTGTATGTAGTCCATCTCTAATTGTAAGGGTTGAAAATATAATTTCAATTATTACTTTTCATTTCATTTAATCACCTTTCATTAAGTCTTATACTTAAGGTATTAACTCCCATTTTCTCTTATTAAATCCCATATTTAAGTTATTTTCCACTAATAAATGCTACTAATTAGATAAATGTCAATATTTTTAGCAATGTAAACCCATATATTTTGAAACTTAAAAAAAAACCATTATTTATCCAAGTAGTGTGGCATAAGAAATTCAAAAATCCAAATCAAATTGATTAACCTATGAAGTCATAATTGGGTAATAAAATATAAACAAATATAGACAATTACAAAAACATAAAAAAATAAGACACATTTATGATATTTTTATTAATAAAATTAAAAAAATAGGTTCAATAAACAATAATTTTTTTATTGATAATGAAAATGAAATACATAATTTAGAATTGACCAAAAATGAAATTATTTTACTATTTGAAAAAGATCAATAGGTTAACTTTTGGGTTAAATGTGTTAACATTTAATGTCATAAATAGACAACAAAAATTAATAAAATATAAAAAAATACAAAAAATGAAAAAAATACATAAGTTTTGCAAAAAAAAACACTTAGGCACATGCATAGTATCATATAATTATCGTATTAAACAAAAAGTAAGTGTAGACATATCATAATTATTTTTACACACAAAAATACAAAAAAAAAAAGAAAATTTTGAACACATCTATAATTCTATATTTACAATACTATTAAGGATATGAATAAGATTATGGAACTTTCTTTTGACTAAAATACTCATTTTGTAATTTAGTCCATATTTAATTGTGAGGTTTAAACTTTAAGTTGAACTACTACTTTTTACCTCATTAAATTCCCTCTAAATAAATCCTACATTTTATTGATAAATGAACAAAAAAAATGCACCAAAAGGATAAAACGTTACAAAAAGAATAATCCAAACGTTACAAAAAGAATAACACTTGAAACTTTATAATTTGGTCTGATTATCACATATTTGGATGAGGTCTACTCATGTTTGGATGTTTCAATATGCACCTGATTAATAATACAAAATATAAAATATAAAAACAAAAAAAAACATATTTATATAAATTTTTGG